CTCTGACCCTGGAATATTGAGCAAAAGTGAATTGGGGAATTATTTAGATTCCTGGTACCATTTGTACTTCCATTACCAGCATATTAGGGCATACTAAATATCTTCTTCACTAAGAACAGCCAGCACTGACATTTAAAACAGTTTCTGCCTCAAACGTTTTCTCAGGAAGCATTGAGGGAGTATAGAACCCTAGACAAAGTCACAGATATTGATCTGGTGAAGGAGAAAGGCAGCACTGTGTGTCTTGGCCAAGAAAACTGGTTTTTCCATTCATGAGCATTTTGCAAATGTGAGCTGCAAATTAACTGCAAGGGTAATTTCACCTTTCCTAAAGGAATTCCACCACAGGTGGAGGGTAGAGAGAGACAGTATAGCCTACAAAGGCAATTTTCAACTGGTGGGCCACAAAAATTTAAAAACATGTAATACCTGACTCTAATCAGGGCACTTACCACTTTTTCCTTAGATTATCAAATAAAACAAAAATTAAAAACCACCAACACAACAGGAGTCATTTAGTATAATGAATCAAAATTATATATATATTTTCATAACTTTAGTAATTATTATAAGTGTCATGAGATGAAAAATTTGAATATTGCCAGCCTAGACCCTTGGTTCTCAAAGTAGTGTTCCAGGCAATTTTGACACAGCTTAAGTTTGAAAACCACTGGCCCAGAAACAGGACAACATGTAGCAAGGCTAGAATATACTATCAAATTGCTGTGAGCTCTGCTGACCTCAGACAACTCATTTATATTCTCTAAATCTCAAATAACTGTATGGAAAATGGGCAGTAATAATAACATTGCTGTGACAGTTAAGTGAATGTATTTGGCCTATTAAATACTTAGTATAGGACCTGCTGATAGAAAATACTCAATATTAGTTATTGTTGCTCTTATTCTTTGAAAACACTAGAATAACAATGAAGCATATGCTTAATGAATATAATAAACACATAAATCCATGAATGAATGGCAGGATTATAGGTTATAAGCTTGTATTGAGAAGGAAAATGCTAATGGAAATACATAACTAGACCTCTGCTTTCAGAATACACATTATAAAAATAAATGTACTGTTCTCTAAAACTTTGTGAATATCAAATGTATTCAACAAATGGAAAGAGTAGGAAAAGAGGGAAAGAAAAAAATAGGATGAACTGTGAAAGTTAAAAATTAAAATTTGTTGCTTTCCTGCAATGTATTTTAGATGTTGCTGTGGCTCTGAGCACTGATTTGTGATCTACCCTAGAGCTGTGAAAACTCTAATGCTTTTAGAATCTTTGTTCTCTATTCTATGGCCCTTCTTCCTTCAGTTTATCAAAGCACCTGCTTTCTGATATAGATGTACTTTGGTTTCCTCAGATAGAGGTACTTTGGTCTCCCCTAATTGTGAGACTTGCAGGGAAGAAAGTACTGGTGTGATAAAATTAAGAGGAGGTTCTGATAGTGCCAGGTGATGCTAAAAAAAAAAGTGGAACACAGAGGATATAGAGGGAGAGCTCAGAAGACACCTGGTCCTGGGATCATAACAGGAAACATCTGCTCCTGGTATCTCGGGGTATATACTCATAATCATAGTAGACATTTGCTCATGGGATCTTAGAGGTCATGTGCTCATGGAATGATAGTGGCAATCTGCTCCCAGGATCTTAGACAGCACCTGCTCCTGTCTAAGGATCACATTGGGAAATTGCTTGTAGAATCATAGTGGGTGTCTGCTCATAGGATAATACTTATTGTATGCTCCTGAAATCATCATGGGTGTCTGCCCATGGAATTCTATGGGGTGTCTTCACCTGGGATCCTAGTGGGCATTGGCTATTGGAATACCAATGATCATCTGTTCATGGGATAATAGTGGATGTCTGCTTTTTGGACATCCCAAAATAGAGGACATGGGACAATAGAGGACATCTGTTCCTGGGATTCTAAGGGTCATCCATCTGCTCATGGGATCAAAGTGGATGCCTACTTGTTGGATTAAAGTGGGTGCCTTCTCATGGGATCAGAGTGGGCATCTGTTCATGAGATCATAGTGGGCACTGCTTCTGGGATGATAATGGCATATGCTCCAGTGATCCTAGGGTTCATCAGATCATGTGATTATATTAGGTGTCTTCTCATGGGATAATAGTGGGTATCTGTTCCTTGGATCCTAAGTGGCATCTGCTCATGAAATCATAGGGTACATCTGCTCACAGATAACAGTGGGTGTCTTTCATGTCATAATTGTGGGAGTCCCCTTGGTTGGGGCAGCCACCTTGGCTGGGGAGCACCTATCTGGGATTCTGGGCACTCCCCTTTGGTTTTCCCAAGAAAAGCCACCAAATCAGATACATCCTGATGGACATTTTCAGACAGAAGTGGGGTAGTTGTTCCCTTGACACTGCCCAGGGAAAGGAGACATATGAATACTGCAGGAGTACTAATTTTATAAACAGAAAATGAAAGAGAAAAAATACCAGGATACCTTTATTCTAAGGTATCTCTAATTTGTGCAGTTATGTACATGTATTTTGTAGCTCTCCTTAGACTCAGTAGTGCCATGGGACAATAGATATTGGTATTTAGTTGGAAGGCAGAAGAATCAGATGAGAGGACTTTATTTGACTCAAGTATTCCATAGCTTTGAAATCTTTTGTTTCTGCTCCATTTTCTTAATCATAAACTGAAGCAGAATAAGACTTCAGTTCTGTACCACCATCCAGTTTTTTTATTTATATTCTTACACCATCTAGTTTTACAATACATTTTATACAGACTGACAGCCCTAAAAAAAAAGAGCTATTTCTATGCAGCACACAAGATTGAAGGCAAGGGAATCATATGATGATAATGGGAAAGAAGAGAGAAGGGCACTACTCTTGGGTAAAGGCAGAGGTGGGAAGCTGCCAGTGCCTGACCCAACAGTATCATAGCACCTAGCTCTGTGCCACAGTAAAAATAAACAACTTACTTCTTACTCTCATTTCTCAAATGATTGTAGTAAGATGTCAAGTCAAACAGTATACAGAATAATAAAGATTGTTACATATTCTGAGTCACTTTGTAATGACAATTTCTTTAAAAATTTCCTTTTCATGTGATAATAAATACAATACATTATTTACTTAGACATTTAAGCTCTCACACTAGGTTTTTTATAAGCTGGTGAGCACTGACAAATTATTTTTCCCGCAGAATTATAACCACCCATTCCCAGACATATAAACATATAAACATATAAACCATATAAACATATGGTTGAATTTACATTAATGCACTTTACCATTTTATTGATTACGTAACAAAACAAATTATCAAGTATCCAAATATTAAGCTACACATCTCAAAAGGCATATAAAATGATGCAGACACTAGCCCGCAGTGTCCATGGCATTGTGGATGAGATGAGACAAATTCACACGGACCACTGAAGTCCTGCGGAGGAAAAGGGACTGCATGGCTACTGTCTCAAAGGGAGAGCACCTCAGAGCACCTTAGCAACTGTCTCAAGAGGAAAGCACCCTGACCCTTGCTTTGACAGACTTTTATTGGCTTTCTAATAGCATACATCAAAGAAGGTTTTTATTTATTATACTTAGGTTTGCTTTAGGTAGTTACTTTTTACAGATAGCAACAGAAAGGATGTTACTGATTACTTCTTACAGATTAACAAGGGAAAAATGTTGCAAATGCAAAGGAACAATATGAGTAATTTGTCTGGTTACACTTCAACCCTTGGGAGAATTAGCACAGACTTCAGGAAGTTTCTATAAAAATATGCAGTAGGCATTTTATGCTTCAACTCAGGGTCAGGGACTTTTAGCAAGAGGAAGTTACAAACCAGCCTAGGTATAATGCAGGCCTGATTTCCCACAGGAGAACTGATCCACGGGTTTGGCATCCTGCATGTCACCACACACACCTAGGGGCTTTCCCATAGGGCTGAGCTACATTTGCCATTCCACGCAGGGAGGTTCCCTATAATAAAATCTTAGATGTCAGCTCAGTTCATTAGCAGAAATCCATATCTTTTTCAAGAGAGGGCAGGAAGGAAAACATCACATGTCAAACACAAATAATTTGGTAAACAACTTCAGAATGTCTAGAAACAAATACAAGAATTTCAGAATTTGTATGATTAAGATTTGTTTCAGCTACAACAAAACATCTCTACCTTAATCTTAAAAAATATTTAATAAAGAGCATTATTCTATATGTTCCACCCCAAAAAAGGCAAAATTTTGCTAAAAATACTTCATAGCACCCTCCCATTCTTTTCTCAGTCCCTCCCTATAAGTTGCACCCCAAGTGCAAACATTAAGTTAACTGTAAGGCTTTTTTTTTTTCTGGAGACATTAAAGACATGAACTTCTGTACAATGTAGATTTTCAAAATGGAAGCTTTCCATAAAAGCACAAAGTGAGACTAATGAGAAAACATTAAATAATCACTAAGACTTAGTATAAAAATTAAAATGTTGAGCAAATCTGATATATACTTGTATGAGTGTGGGAGATGTAAACATAAAGTGAGTAGGAAAATAACCATATAGGCCCTACTTTCTATGTTTCAAATGACTGAAGGAATAAAACACAGAAGATCCTGAGTGTTCATAGTTCCCGGGATTTTAGTTCTGTAAGTATTGTGCTGGACATGTTGGCGACTAATCTTTCTAACTCTTATTCTGATATTATTTGGGCATGGGAATAGATTTAAAAATATACCTCACTACTGCATGATTTCAGGAGAAGTCCATTGGTACAAATTATAAGCACATTTTAAAGCTGAACAGTAAGAATCTGTTGCTAGTGTCACAATCAGTTGATAGAAACCCAAATGCAGAAGTTGCAATTCTGTCCAGCTTGTGGCCTGGTAAAACTGCTTTTTAATTCTCCTATGGAAGCTTCATTAGATTTATTCACCAAGCTAATATGTTGGCCAATGTGTATCACAAATTAGGTCCTATTTCAACTTCCACTTCCAAGGCAATGGCATCAGGCACCTGTTTTATTGAATGCAACAGTTGTTTCTATGACCATCGGAGTCTTTGAAGTGCAGCTGCATTTTAGGATGATACTTCCCCAAATACAAAAGTTCCTTGCTGTTAAAAGCTCTATGCTGCTTTTATCTTATGAATTGCACTGCATCTTCATATTTCATTTCACTTTCAGTTAATGCTAGGGCAACAAGCACTGGAGGACTCTCAAAGCATGCAACACACTGAACAGCAATACAACAACCAGGTTGTTTACAAAACTTAATTTTTACAAGATCTAACCAGTTATTAACACTCTGGTTGGATGGTGGTACACCGTCATCAAAAGGCCAATGAAGAACATGGATGCCTTCTTTCTCCACAAAAGTAGTGTCAGAAGTTGCTTCACATACTCTAACTATTGTAGAAATGCCATATTTCTTAAGTTCCTCTATAAATTTGTTTAGGGTCACATTGGTTGGATTGTGTGTAATAAAAAATCTTGTGTTCTTATATATGACTTCCAAAGGAGCTGGGCAGTTCATTCGAGCCATGTTAATTTAGTTAAAAAATACTCAATGTGGTTATGAAAGAATTTAAAAATTGGATACAGAAATGGTGCAAAGAAACCAAGTTTACTTCAACATACTCCACTAAAATTCTCAGTACTTTGAGTATGAAGTTGGGAGTAATGAGAAATGAAATGAACCTCCTAACAAGAAGCAACAATTCTTCAAGCCAATAATTCTGAGGCAATAGAAAAAAAGTGCAGTGAGGATTACCCCATCCAAGTCAGAACTCTTGTAAACAGCCCTGCAGATTTCAGTTCAGCACTCATGTCCAGGTTAGCTACTCTTAAAGAGGCTTCTTGGCAGAGTAGTAATGAATTTCTACAGTTCGCTTGTCTGTGTACAGCTTGTACTATGCCTGGCAATAATTTTCACTGCCATTCAGAAACTCCATAAATGTGTCCAAGAACACCACAGAATTTAGGAATACATTTACTCATTGAAGTTTGTAGCCTAATCATATAGCTGGTCCTGAGGTGGTGGCAACACAGATGGCAGAGGTGGCAGCAGCTGCAGGGAAGGAGACAGCAGTGGTTATGGTGGTAAGGCAAAGCCTTTGCAATGACAGCGGGTTACCAGACTCTACCATGCAGTTATTGACTCCTAGAATACAACCTAGCCAAGATGGCTCTCAGTCAATTGAGCCAATACCTTGTTTTAAAATTTTCTTGGCTTGACTTCCTAGAGTGGAGTCATGTGAATTTTTTATTATTTTTTATTTAATTATTTTTCAAATACAGTATTCTGTCTTTTATTCCCATCCCAGCTCACCCAGCCTGTGCTCCCCACCTCCCTCCAATTTCCACCCCCCTTAGTTGTTGTCCATGTGTCCTTTATACTAGTTCCTGCAAATCCTTCCCCTTTTCCCCCTGAAATTCCCTCCCCTCTCCCCTCTGGTCGCTGTCCCCCTGTTCTCCATTTCAGCGTCTTTGTTTTTATTTTGATTGCTTGTTTGTTTTATTGTTTAGGTTCCAGTTAGAGGTGAGATCATATGGTATTTCTCTTTCAATGCCTGGCTTATTTCACTCAGCATAATGCTTTCCAGTTCCATCCATGCTGTTGTAAAGGGTAGGAGCTCCTTCTTTCTTTCTGCTGCATAGAATTCCATTGTGTATATGTACCATAGTTTTTTTTTTAATCAATTCATTTACTGATGGGCACCTAGGTTGCTTCCAACTCTTGGCTATTATAAATTGTGCTGCTATGAACATTGGGGTGCATATGTTCTTTTGGATTGGTGTTTTAGGGTTCTTAGGATATAATCCCAGCAGTGGAATTGCTGGGTCAAAAGGCAGCTCAATTTTTATTTTTCTGAGAAAATTCCATAGTGTTTTCCATAGTGGTTGTACCAGTCTGCAATCCCACCAACAGTGAACTAGGGACCCCTTTTCCCCACAACCTCTCCAACATTTGTTGTTTGTTGCTTTGTTTATGATAGCCATTCCGACTGGTGTAAAGTGGTAGGTATCTCATTGTGGTTTTAATTTCCATCTCTCTGATAGCTAACGATATTGAGCACCTTTTCATGTGTCTCTGGATCCTCTGTATGTCATCCTTGGAGAAATGTTTGTTCAAGTCCTTTGCCCATTTTTTAATTAGGTTAATTGTCTTCTTAGAGTGGAGTCCTGTAAGTTCTTTGTATATTTTGGAGATTAAACCTTTGTCTGAGGTATCATTGGCAATTATGTTTTCCCATACAGTTGGTTCTCTTTTCATTTTAATACTGTTTTATTAAGCCTTGCAGAAGCTTTTTATTTTGATGAGATCCCATTTGTTTATTCTTTCATGTCCCTTGCTCTAGGGGACACATCAGTAAAAAAGTTGCTGCATGAAATATCTGAGATTTTCTTTCCAATGCTCTCCTCTAGGACTTTAATGGTTTCACAGCTTATACTTAAGTCATTTATCCACCTTGAATTTATTTTGGTGTATGGTGTAAGTTGGTGCTCAAGTTTCATTTTTTTGCACATAGCTGCCCAGTTCTCCCAGCACCATTTGTTGAAGAGGCTATCTTTACTCCATTTTATGTTACTGCCCCCTTTGTCAAATATTAATTGACTGTAGAGAGTTGGATTGATTTCTGGGCTCTCTGTTCTGTTCCACTGGTCTATGTGCCTGTTTTTATGCCAGTACCAGGCTGTTTTGATTACAGTGGCCTTGTAATACAGTTTGGTATTAGGTATTGTCATCCTTCCTACTTTGTTGTCCTTTCTCAAAATTGTAGCAGGTGTTTGGGGTTGTTTATGGTTCCATGTAAATTTTTGAAGTGTTTGTTCTATATCTGTGAAATATGCCATTGGTACTTTAATAGGGATTGCATTTAATCTGTAAATTGCTTTGGGTAGTATGGACATTTTGATGATGTTAATTCTTCCAATTCATGAACACGGTATATGTTTTCATTTGTTTGTGTCTTCCTTGATTTCTTTCTTCAGTGTTGTGTAGTTTTCTGAATACAGGTCTTTTCCCTCCTTGGTTAGGTTTATTCCCAGATATTTTATTTTTCTTTTTGCTATATTACATGGGATTTTTCCCTTGATTTCTGCTTCTGCTGGTTTATTGTTAGTATACAAGATCAAATCTTTGCCCAAGGTATCATTTGCAAATATATTTTCCCATATGGTCAGTTTCCTTTTCATTTTGCTGATCTTTCTTTAGCTGTGCAGAGTTTTATTTTGATGAAGTCTCATGTGTTCATTCCTTTATGCCCCTTGTTCTAGGGGACATATGTGTGAAAATATTTGTGGGGGGCGAATTTGCTCTCAAGTCCCCCGTCTGCCACGGATGAAAGTAAACCCTACCAAGACATGATCTGCTTGGGGAGGAGAGGTGGGCAATTTCTCAGAGGAAAAAGGCCAGAAGCCTCTTCTTCCAGGGGCTTTTGTTGGGTTGTAATACACAGGAATATAGGGCAGCAAGGATCAAACAGTAGACAACATTTCAAAGAAATCTGAGGGCTTAGTCAGAGTCAGTTGCTGTCAGGAAAGGGGGTTTCAGAAACTTTTGGAGACAAACTCATTTCCTTGGACCCTTCACATATGAATGAAAGCACTCTTAGCAAAGCAGATTTTACAGGATTTTTAGGAATTCTTTCTTATGCCTGATTACCCTGGAAATCACTTTAGCAAGACAAGGAGCTGCACCTCCTCCCCACACAAGTTTTCAGGCTTAAGTGAATTACAGCCAGGAAGGGTTTCTCCCATAGTACACAGGGACTCAGGCTATGTCAGAATAGCCTGGGGGCAAGGGTCCATTGCTCCCTCTTTGTCACAGCCCCCCCAAGTCCTTCAATGATGATACCCCAAGTGATCATGTCTGGCTTAGGTTGCCCCTCACTGTGAGAAGTCTTACCCATCATGGACATTGACTATGCTTTGGGGGCAGGAGGAGGCAAAGCCAGTGTTTGCTACCAGAGACAAGCTTTGTCTCTTGTGGCTCACATTCTGGAGGTCGCTCACTCATCCTTAGCCATGGGGGGTAGTTACAATTCCTGAAACCAGGCAGAGCAGTTCCCAACAAATATTGCTGAATGGGGTATCTGAGATTTTCCTGCCTATGTTCTCCTCTAGAGCTACTACGGTGTTATGACTTTTGTCTACATGGATGGATCTGGAGAGTATTATGCTAAGTGAAATAAGACAGGCAGTGAAAGACAAATACCATATGATCTCACCTATAAGCAGAACCTAATCAACAAAACAAACAAGTAAGCAAAATGTAAACAGAGACATTGAAATAAAAAAAGTATCCAGAGGGAGCCCTGGCTGGTGTAGCTCAGTGGATTGAGCGCGGGCCTGCGAACCAGACAATCGCAGTTCGATTCCCAGTCAGGGCACATGCCTGGGTTGCAGGCCAGTTCCCTGCAGGCCAGTTCCCAGCAGGAGATGCACAAAAGGCAACCATACATTGATGTTTCTCTCCCTCTCTCCTTCCCTTCCCCTCTAAAGATAAATAAATAAAATCTTTTTAAAAAATTATCCAGAGGGGAGGGGGGAGAAGGATAATTGGAAAAAATAGGGTAAGGGTCCTCAAGGAACATGTATGAAGGACACATGGACAAAGCCAAAGGGGGTAGGATTGAGGGTGGGAGGAGGGGATGGGTGGAGGTGAAGTAGAGGGAGGAAAATGGAGACAATTGTACTAGAAAAATAATAAAACTCTTGGATTGAGAGACATTTAGTTTACTAGGAGTGTCAGAACTTGATTTGATGGTCAAGCAAGGAAACATCTTATCTCTGGTAAAAAGAGCCCCTTTGTTGTACAAATATGCAAATCTAAACAGGTTTTCAGATTTCAATATCTAAAATGGGAGCCTGAATACAGATGGAGTTTACAGAAAGGAGGAAAATTATAACCTGGAAGCTTATGGAGGTAAGGAAAGATCTCCAGAGGCCCAGTGGATGAGAGACTGGCAGGCAGTGTTTGGGTCATGGTCTATGTGTCTAGGAGTAAAATCACTCTCTAGCAATAGGTCAGCATAGAGAATGGATTCAGGCAATTTGGTAGCAGATGGTAAAGAGAATTAAGAATCTGGCAGTGAGTCTGAGGAGTTTTACAGTTACTACATTTGTGCAAAAAAAACACCTTTAAAAGTGTTTTGATGTCACTTTTATAAAAGAAAATAAGTTTAGAAAGGTAAAGGTTTTGATTGATGTCATGCAGTAACTGTGTTATAAAGCAAGAATGGACACAAGGCCTCAGCCCAGTGCTATTCCAGACATATATAAAGGCAGAATAGGCGTGGACTCTTTGGGACCAGAAGGCTGGCAGCAGGGTCCTTGGAAGAGAGCTGGGTCATCAGCTCCCTCCCTACCCAGCCAGGCGTGGTTTGAAAAACACCGGGAAAGACCTGTTTGCTTGAAGTGTCAGAGGGAGGAATGGGCACGAGGAGGCAAACACTGGGCCTTGATGATCTGTGGAGTCTGTGGTTGCAGGCTAGGGAGAATTGAGAGTTGCAATGTCGGGCTCTGACCCCGACAGTCCCT